AGGATTTCTAACAACTTTACTCCACTTCACACACATGCACCACCTGTACAGCCTGTAATCAGTTGGAACTCCCAAATTCCACCTCTCATTTCACCCTGTAAGCCTCACTTAACAACAAGAGGTAGTGCCCTAGTATGACATCATTCTCATCATGATGATTGTGTTTTTAGAGGGCGAGGGTAAAGCAGCATCTAGTGTGGCATCAGGACGGCGGTAGCTATGACGACTGCAACTGCCGATGTTACGCCTCGAGCATGTGGACAATCTCGATCAACTCGGCCATCAATGACGGACGCACCGCCCTGTACGATGAGAGCTGCTCCTCCACCCGGCATCACGTCAGCAACGGACGCAAGAGGAATCCAAGGCTGGCGTTGGGTTTGTTTGAACGCGTGTATGTCTCACAGAGGCTGATGAATAAGCTTATCAAAATTAGGTTCAACGGGCCCCGACGTAATCTTTCTCTGCTCTTTTGGATGTCTCAAGACGTCTCAAATCTTGTTGGTGACATTCTGTCTTTCAAAAAAGATTGTCCTCATTCACAGATTGAACTGTAAATGGCTTCTTTATGATTGCCGGGCAGACAGTGTTTCCCAGGCCTTTCAGGATATTGAATGAGAACAGGGATCAAACTGTTGTGAAAAATGTCTCCCCGGTGGAAGAAAATAGCTCTTCTTTGTTCACATTACTGGACCTCACTTTGCTGTAGAACCCTAGAGCAGGGTATCAGGCATGTTGGATGCTTTTATTAAGAGACTAAAGGTTTTACTTTTTTATGGACTTGGCTTTCCTTTATTAGTTGCTATGATAGAAAATGTCCTTTACCATGACTGTGTTGCTTTGTGCTTCATTGTAAGAGTGCTTTTTTGTAGCAAGTGGAAATCATGTAAAGAAAGGGAAAGGAGATGTACTGAAGTGAACATAGTGATTGACCTTAGCATGACACAAACAGGAAACAACCATAAGAGGCCTAAAGAACTGTGTCATCAGTGGGGAATTCATGACAAAAGAAGTGAGTCTTCAACATCAAACAGACGAGTGGACATCGTGCACTATCTTTTGAAATGAAGACAATTAAGACACAGCTGAAGTACGATAGACGCTGCTTCCTCGCTGAAGGCAAAAGCCTGACCTTGATGGTCAACATTATAAAACTGAATGCCCTTACACAAACACAGAGCATGTAGACCCACAGCCTTTGCTACGCTTGTGTGTAATAAGGATTGCTTAGTGTATAAGGCAGCAGTGTTTGGGTTTGTGATTATGCAAATCACCTTTGGCTGTTGACAGAGCCACGGATCTTCCCCAGGGTTCTCCATCTAATTTCAGTCAATCAGTCATTATTTCTCATTAAGCACCAAATTATATTGCTTATTCAATAAGCATAGACACTGCTTGCCTGCTGATTTGTGTATAGTACAGTTTAGCCAGTGTACACTCTGAACTCAGATGCATCCTTTTCTTATCTGTATTTTAAACTTGTAACGAGAGGATCATATTGATGTTGTCCTGTTTCTCATACAGCCTGAAACGTGGCTGTATCAAACAAGTATTCCAGTCAATGCACTGATCAGAAACTCCCAATTAACTGTGAGGTAAAATATCATGACGACATGATGATTATTGTTATAATGATAGAGAGAGATTAATAGATACTTCATTGATCCCGATGGAAATTCAAAGCATCCAATAGCAACTTGTAAGACACATATGATGTGATATAGTTGTTATGCTTAATAACACCCACTCTTCCCCCTCCCATATGTGTATATTAACTCAAAGAAAGATTTAAAAGAAACCCCTTCATAGATGTAACGGCCTCCTTAACCAAAATAATTACACCAAGGCTCAGAACATGGAGACTGAAAACATATAAGGACGCCACACAGATTTAAAGATAATTAAGGAATCAAATAAACAAAAGGGGCTGCAGACCCAGCCAAAAAGAACAAAAGATGGGAAGGTGCCGAGCCAACCATTTAATTGGTCGTAGCGTCATCTTTCCCTAAAACTACCTTCAGAAGAAAAGACAAACCCAAAGAAACCAAAAAAACGAAAATAGGAGTACTGGTGATCTCAAGCCCAAACTATACTAACAAAAACAATCTTGACATGCGAGGCAGAAAAACTGGGGGACAAAAGCTCCTGACAACATCGCTGCCAAGAGTCTCTCCTACCCAGCTCCTCTAAAGACCACTTCTCCTCCCTGAAAACCCGTACAGTTAAAAGTAAGACCTAGCTTGTGGAGGGTGATATTAGTCAAAGCTAGCGAAATGTTAGCAATGTGTGTTTTGCCACCATAATGAGTATTGTTGGACTAGTAAAACATTTTCTTAACCAGGTTTTTTCCCTTTGAGATTAAGAGCCTCTGTTTCAAGGAAGACTTGGCCAAGATAGACAGACAAACACAAAAATGTACCTTAAAAGACTCTGTTGCACCACCAGCTAAAAACATCGACATCCTATAGGTCTTTCATTTTAGATTTAAAGACATTTAATGACACCAGCTCCTTGAGTTTCAAGTCGTTCTACAGCAACGAGATGGTGCATCTCAAGGGGTTTGAATTGCCCCCCCCGGGGGACAAATAAAGTTTTTTGAATTGAATTGAATTGAATCCCTCCAATGAAAAATGTGAAATATGTAGTTCAGGGGAGGGTATTATTGTATTGATATTGAAGATGTATTTTTGTCCTGATCTTCCCTCATATTGTTCCTTTCAGGCTACCACAGACCTGTATGGGAACTGCACACTGCGTCACTCTGGGACATCAGCAGCAGCTCCAGAAGCAGCCGGTGTCTTCGCTCTGGCTATTGAGGCTAAGTATGTGCTCCACTCCCCCTTCTTTAAACCTGCAGTACCTCTGTCTGTACAAAACAGACTCAGAGAGTTGAATTAGAGCAGAAAAAAATGCCTTTTATTACATTTTGATATCCTTTGACTTGACAGAACAGTTTTTTTTAGGCTATTCATGTATTAGCTGCTGAATATAACCCTGAGATTTTATATCCCTACTCTATGATGTCTTTGACCTCTTAAGTCAATATCTTTTCTCATATCCTTCTATTCAAATTCTCCATCCTTTTCTGAACCCTTTATAAGCACGGATCATTTCTCAACTTTTCACAGGATTGCTTATTTATTGCACAAGTCAAATGAAAAGTAAAGTATTCTGTTTAACACAAAGTACCGAATCTATGGGCTCGGCCAACGACACACACCATGTGATAAGAAGTTTAAAAATGCAGATTATATATTGTTTGGATGGGCTAGCTGAGTGCTTATGTTTGAGCTATCTCTGCGCCTAAAAGCAGTGAAGAAAATGTGCTGAATGAAATACTCTACAATATGAAATTATCTCAACCTTCTGAAAATGTAAGTAGGTTAATGGTGTAAGCAAAGCATATCAAAATCTGTTGATTATGTATAATAACAGTTTTTTTCTATAATCCTTGTGAATTTTAGAAAAGCTTATTATGTGTAGATTAGAAAATAGCTAAAATACACTGCAGTTTAGTGAATCTGCCAAAGCATAATTAAACCAGTATGAAAATCTAAAACCCTGCGTATTACCATAATCCCCAAGGAGACTCTTCTTTCCCTTGAGATGCTTCATTTCTGACATTGAAGGTTTACAAGACACCGCTGCCATTAAGTGACACCTGCTAGTGGAGCTGAGTAAAGAAGGACTGTTTGCTTTGCACACACAATAATGATGTCGCTATTAGGAGGAGCGGATGCTTACCCTCTCCGGCAGCAAATAACCCACGAGGCTGTTAGGACGAGTGCGCGGGCCTTTTTACTGCCCAAACACACTCAAAACCATCCTACAGCAGGAGTGAATGAGTCAGCCTGAACAAAGCTGTCGCCACACACAGCCAAAATTACTAAGGGAGACACAAACACGGGGATCTTTGTGCCTCAAAGAACAGACACTATGAGTGTTATATAATCCAAAACATGCGGAGATAAACCTTGTTCACAGAGGTCTAACTGTTTGGACTTAATAAAGGAAGAATCCTTTTAGGTTAGAGGCAAAAATCTCTTCAAGAACTTCAAATTCCTGTTGCCTTCTTGGTGAAACTTTTTTTTACTTACACTTTACTTTACTTACACCAACAACTTATAAAAACAATGTACTGACAATAGAGACATAAATAACATAATAATTCTAAATAAACACACTATGTACATCTTCACTTGTGGGATGATACACAATTGCACAGGTTACAGACTTAGTGCAAGAGGCAGTCTAAATTGTCTTAATTTCCTTATAATAAACACCACATTGGGAAGTAACTCTCATTCAAACCTGATATTTCCTGCTTAAATTTATGATGTAAACTTTCTGTCTCCCCCAGCCCAAACCTGTCCTGGAGAGACATGCAACACCTGTCAGTCCTGACCTCCAAGAGGAACCAGCTTCATGACGAGGTGCACCAGTGGAGGAGGAACGGCGTTGGCCTCGAGTTTAACCACCTGTTTGGCTATGGTGTGCTGGATGCCGGGGGGATGGTGAAAATGGCCAATGAATGGAAAACAGTGCCTGAGCGTTTCCACTGTGTAGCCGGTTCCATTCAGGATACCCAGTGAGTCACGTTTCTTCTAATCCTTACTTTTTTTTGGCTATACATTCTGCACACTTCATGTGCACTCTGCCTATTGGAAATTTCAAGCTGTCCCCACCGAGATGCTGAAAGGAAAACACTGCTGAGCCTAAGAGACACACTCATCTAATTACTGGGTAATTCCAATAAGGTTTAATTCAATAAAACAGCTACGATGGGAGTGTCGACTTCATGACCCTATCATATTCAGATTAGCTGCTCAGTCTGTCTGATGGTCCTGTACAAATAATGAAAGACTGTGATCGTGACAGGTGCTTTTTTGGTTAATGGGTATTATGGTAACTAACCATAGTAAAGTTGTTGAATGTTTTTTTTAAATAAATCTTGTGCTATTGTTTTTTAACTAGAAAATGAAAATGGAATGGATTTATTTTCAGTTTTAACAAACAGTCCCCCTGCGACTTGAACATTTCTTATTAACCTTACAGTAGGAATATGTTACTCTTGAGAAGAGAGATTAAACATTCTAACTTTAACAAATGTGAGGTTTAATCCATAGAAGATAAATCACGCTGTTGCTTAGTCTAATAAAATGCTTGGTCTTGGCGGCTAATCGTAGCTAAATCCACAACACTTTCGATGGTATAACTATTACTGTACGTTGGATATTACTGAGCAAGTCAGAAGTTTAGTGTTAAAGTTTTCTCTTTAAATTGATTTGGCCTAATGCTTAACAGATGATATGCACTTAGTTGGATTTAGCCTTTAGCCTACTTTGCTGCTATTTGAGCTAATATTACATGTCCTGTTTGCCGCTATAGTTCATGGCCGGTACCAACATGTATGATTTTGTGACGTGCAGAATACAATCAGTCTAGCACACGACTTGCAGAAGTGTGCTGTGAACCCATTAAAAGCAAATTCTGCCGTTCAGTTAATTTCATAGCCTTGCTCAAATCAAAGTTTCATAAATATAAATACATGCATGATCCACATTATTTTAGAGGGAAATCAAAGATACATCTTATCGATTTGGGAAATAGAAAATGCTTTGTCTGGTTGTTTGAATTGGAGAATATGTTTTCTTTACTGATAGAGAAGCTAATTATTATTATTACTTTTATAAAATATTTTACACACAAAACGAGATGTAGCTGTAGCTATGAGTCTTCTCATCCAGTCCTCTCCTCTTCTTCTGGTCTTCTTCTCCATTAACAGCCTTGCCTTCAGTTTTCACTCTACACCTCTAGCCTCCTTCCCCGTCTTTACTTTCCAACCCAACTTTACTCTTCTTTTCTTTCCCCTGGCCCCCTCTGCTCACCCTAACAGGGTTTTGCTATCCATCCATCTATCATATCAATAGGCTTCCCACTCCTGTGAGGGATGACTGTTGACTTCCCCCAGCATACCCTCTTATTCCCTTAAATTAGACTGCCACAAATGGCCCAGCATGGCGGGCCCTGGAAACACTGTCAATTACCCTGACTGACAGCCAGGAAGGGATTCCAGGTTGAGGTGTTTCTGTGTTTGTGGATGTAAACTTGCAGCTTTCACATGTGTTGTGGAAATGTCAATGCGTAGGTGTAGATAAAACAGCAGGCTGTATATGGTTTGTCTCTTCAGGCTTTGCCACCATCATCCCCTCAGGATCCTTATTTTACTCTCCAATCAGTGCTCCACAGGTGATGCAGTCACGACAGCATGGCGTGAAAGTAATCCCCTATGTGTCAGAGAGTGTGTGTGTGTCTGTGTCTCCCTTGAGTTAAGGCCAGTTAAAAAAAGGAACACCCCTTTAAGATTTTATTTAAATGTCGAAGAGAGCTTGCCTCATAATATTTGGACATTTGGCAAAAAATGTTGCCTTGCCATTGACATAATCAAAAAATGGATGGTTTCCAAATGTGGGACTTTCAGCCAGGAGAGTATTATTTAAGTAACTCAACAGGCACACATTCATTTGGACTTATTTTAACCCAAACCATGATATTTTCCCCTCAACCTAACTACAAACAAAAGTCCTAGCAGGTCATTATTTTGCCCAAACCTTCGCTCACTTTGACCATTTGACCATTTTAACCAACTATCTTTGAATGATTTTTGCACACACTCCCCCTTCCAAAAAAATAGAAACGTTTGTTGTAAACTTCATCTTTAACCAAATGGTTTTTTGTTTATTGCTGTTGACTGTTGTAGTTTAATTGTCTAACCAGATGTAGCATTTTTTACTAAAGAAAACTTGATGCCTGCATATGCTGAACTGACCCTGGAGATGTACCCAGATCATCATATTTTGAAGCATACGGCCACATAAAACAACATTTATATTGGATAAAGAGAGGGGGTAGGAACGTGTTGGCTTGAATGCGACATCAAACAGACCAATTTGCAGAAGGCGACATCAGCACTCTGCTCAGCCATGAACAAAATATCAATATCTAAACAAATACCATATAAAGCAGTATTTATGATAATAGAGATAGCATCTCTTTTTTTTCAAGCTATCTCTTAGCTGTGTTAATAGCTGTGCGATATTATTCATCAGTTCATTGTTTTCACAGCTGCACTGCAGGGCTTGTGCTGCCTCTATTGTGGTTGAGATATAATTACAACAAGCCCACCTCTGATGAAAGTGTATCACCAGAGAGAGGCAATAAACACCAACATAGCCACAGCCCCGCAAACGCACCGCTCAGCATTGATCTGATGGCTGCTCTGGCTTGCTGTGGCTTACTTGGCTGGAGGAGAACCTCTCATTACCAGTGGAGCTGGCATGCATTGGCCCCTGTGAGCTGTGAGGTTGTTTTAATCTCCCCTGGTGCTGCCCTTCAGTGGCATCCCTCTGCCTGCTCTATGACCCACTGTGGTAATTACTCACACTCTTCATCGGATGGGAGCTGTGCTCCTGCTGTGCACAAATTCACTTTATGGTCCAAAGTAAAACTCCTAGACTTATACTCACAGAGATCAATTACAATAAAAACATGTTGTAAGTTGGAAAATAATTCAATAATTAATTATGTGCAAATAAAAACTCACAGATTTAGCTAAACTCACAGAGATAAAGTCCAATTTAAAAATGTATTAAAGTGAGGACACAACTTTGTTTTACTTTATTACATTTCTCCACCCATGATCTATACCGCCTATGCCATTCGGGGTCTCAGGGGCTGGAGCCGATCCCAGCTGTCGTTGGGCGAGAGCGGGGTACAACCTGGACTGGTCACCAGTCAATCACAGGACTGCCATACAGATACAAACAACCAACTAATCACATTCTCATCAGAACATACAGACCTTTGGGCTGTGGGTGGTAGCTGAAGTACCAGGAGGTACTGAGAGAACATGCAAACTCCACACAGAAAGGCTGTGTATGATGGGGATTCAAACCAGGCACACAGCATTAATTAACCACACTGCAGTCCCTTATATGTAACACATAGTATTTTGTTTCATCAAAATTTAAAACTCATTATTGTATTTTTGAAGATGGAAAAAAAGGAAATTGCAACTTTGTAAAAATGGTTTTAAAGATGTCTCTTTATATTTTAGGTACATAACAAATTTGAAGAGCCATGTTGTTAACGAGTTTAATATTTGGTTATGTCAGATTTCTCACTGAGCATTTCAGGGTGTAACTCCCTGTAAAACACCCCGCTGTGAACTGTTCTGTTTTTCTGGGAAGAGTAATTCGTTTCATCAGCGCTAAGAAGCTCACCGCTGCACTCGCCTGGCTGTGCTCATCATAGTGCTCCATTAATCATTTTTCAAACCGAGTGCTGTTCCACACGTCTCTCTCGTCTCTCTCACTCCAGTCTCTGGTTCTTGTCCTCGTTTCCCTCTCTATGCCCCCATTTCCCACCGTGTGCAGTTCAAGCGTCAAACTCACACACTGTTATTAAGCCTCCTCATATAGCCTTTGGCAACCATCCCTGTCCTACTGTGTTCCCACTCGTTCCCTCCATCAGTCAAAGAGATGGGAACGACGGTGTGCCGTTCCATCCACAAAGCAGTAACAATACCAAGACCGTCTTGCTTTTACTGTCTGTTCTGAACAAATCCAGTCGGGTCAAGAATACGTTCATTATGAAATAGACAAATCATTCTCCTCTAGTTTTAACAAAAGGCCTCAGATTAATTTCTAATTAACAATTCCCTGCAGTTTAACAGTATAATCCACATAGCAGGCTGTAGTTTTACTGTCTATGTTTAAATACTTATGATAATACTTGCTTTTTCCCATTGATTTCCATTTTCATCGCACAAAAGTGCTAAGAAGTTGCTGTTTTAGCCACTCAGATTTGCTCTGTTCTGTAATTCTGTTGGAATTATTGTGTAGATGCTTACCTGGTTCCTAAAAACTTCCAACAAGATTGTGTCACACTTTTTTGATATTCTATAGTTTCATTAGATGATTGACAACTAGTTATTCGTTGCATTTACATTGAAAACCATGATTAGCATCAGCCCGTGTGTTATTTGGCTCCCACAGAAGACGAACTGGTCGTAAAGAAAGGCTCTGTATGATCAACAGCTGGTAGCAAGAAATGAAGGCCTATGTGTAGCGTGTGTGGCTCCAAATAGCAGAGGTTTTCATTTTCATTCCCACCACTAGACATAAATTACACAGTAAAGCGCCAAGATATGACAATCATCACTGCTTTTGTGCGATAAGGGAGCAGGTTCAAAAGGAGCCTTGATTTGCCGAAGGAAAAAATAGGTCAAGTACTGTATTTACTTGGATATTCAAAAGAGAGCTGGGCTGAAATTCACTGGGAGAAAGAAAAAAGTTATTACATCTTCCATTTGAAGTTTAACCACAGGGAAGCAATCAAAATGCGGTCTTATTTCCTCCAGTTAATGGAGTTTTGGATGTTTTAAACACTAATATTTGGCTTTTCCATGTCTCTCTGCTGAACAGTTTTTAACAGTTCAACCTGTTTCTCTCTCTCGCCAGTAAAATCCAGTCTGGAAACAGGCTGGTGCTAGCCATCAACACTGAAGCCTGCCAGGGGAAGGACAACTTTGTCCGCTACCTGGAGCACGTGCAGGCGGTAGTCACCGTCAACGCCAGCCGCCGTGGCGATCTTAACATCAACATGACCTCTCCCATGGGCACAAAGTCCATCCTGCTGAGCCGAAGACCCCGCGACGACGACTCCAAGGTGGGCTTCGACAAGTGGCCCTTCATGACCACCCACACCTGGGGCGAGGACCCCCGTGGGACCTGGGTCCTGGAGGTGGGCTTTCAGGGGGAGGAGCCACAGCGCGGGGTCCTGAAGGAGTGGACTCTCATGCTGCACGGAACACAAAGTGCCCCTTATATAGACCAGATAGTGCGTGATTATCAGTCCAAACTGGCAATGTCTAAAAAGGAGGAGCTGGAGGAGGAGCTGGATGAAGCTGTAGAGAGAAGTCTGAAGAGCTTGCTGAGTAAAAACAACTAAAAAAAAAAAAAAAAAAAAAAAACCCATCTGCATGTTGTCAAATCTTTCTCTTTCTCCCTCTGCAATCTTGCTCAAATCTGTCTCTAAATCTCACATGCATCACCTCAGTTCTTCTCACTCGATGGTTATCCTCCTTTTCTTCTACCTCTTATCCCCTCCTCACTCCGCTTTTTGTTCTCAAGTGTTTCAATTAGCCCCCAACCTTCGATGAACGTGTGTGTAATGGAACCATCATTCAAGTGTAACTTTTAATAACTGTTCTAGAGAAATGAAACTATCTCACCATGAATTTTGACACTCCACAGAACTGTACAAAAACGGAATACAGTCCACTCTTTCATGCTCTTGCTTTGACTGCCCTGCACCTCTCTTCTGCCGACTGTTGTACAGTTTGTGACTGTAAAGGATTTTCTGTGTCATTCTACTTAAAGTTTATTATCTTGCAAACAGAGCAGTGATACTTCTTTCTGATGATATTTTTATGTGACACGCACTGTTTATATAAACTAAGAAAGGAAATATGTATTTTATTTTGCAGCCTGTGGTCCTCGGTTCATCTTTCATAATCTTTGACGTATACTATAATAAATCTATTCAGCTCTTTATTAAAGCACTTGAGTGATTTACAACACACTACCAAACCCAACATGCATGTTATTGAGATTCCATTTTCAGATTAATTTTTGGACCCTTTATTGTCCCATTAGAGAAAGAGGACAGTGGATGGAGTCGGAAATCAGGGCAAGTGAGAGAGAGAGAGAGGGAGAGAGAGAGAGAGAGAGAGAGAGAGTGGTGATTCCTACATATTTGATGGATAAAAACATCACAGACAAAAACAATGCTTAAGACCAAAGACGGAGCATTTGGTGGAAGAAACAACAACAACATATAAGCATGTATTTATATATAAGTAGAGCACAAGCTGAACAGTAACAGACTGGGTTTTCAGTCTTTCCACAGATTTTTTGTACTGTCCATTAAAGGAAAATTGCCCTGTGAAGAGTGGAGCTACTATGGCCAAGGTAACTTTTCAGATTTTTATTTTTTGTCAAGGTTGCAACATATAACATCCAATAAATCATCCCAATCATCACATATCTGACATCTAATCTGGAAGTTTTTTTTTTCTCTTTCTAAATCTGCACTTCACGTCAAAGGAGCGTTTTAACGTCTTTCAGCTCAGGATTTTGGTTTACCAGCCTGCAACTCAAATAATTTCATTCACTTTCATTGCACTTGTCAGATTATTTTTCTAGTGATAGCAGTCCATTTTTGTAGGCCAGAAAATATTGAAAATTAACAAAAGCATGAACCTAGTGGCATATTTAGCCAGACAATACATAGCTACAGTAGTTGGCAAACATTTTAAGCTTACTAAAGCCAGATGTAGAGCTCAAAGTGTATGTATACATTTTCAGCTTGCCATGTAAACTTCATAGGAAATAGTATGTCAGGAAGATGTTGTTACAGCTCATGTCTGCTGCCCCCAAGTGGCCATTAAGAGTTATTGTAGGTTTCAGAGCAGAAAAGGAGATCTTACCCGAATATCACAAAGATAGAGGGAGCTGAGTGAAAAATATTTGTTAGCAAAATGCTTTATTAGAAATGATGATTAACTTTCTGGCACATTGGACAGCTATTTATCTCAATTATCCTGATTCAGCAGGGTGTCTCAGAGTTCCACTTAACACTTTCCCTCTTTCTCTCTCTGTATTATTTCCTGTCTGAGATCATCAATGCCTTTTTCTACCTCCTCTTATCCTGCCAGAAATAGATGACATATTGTTGAATAAGCCAAAAGTCTAGTGGCCTTTTAAAAGTAAAGGAGTACTTTTAAGTCTAGAGAACATACAAACGAGTAAATGGTTGTATCATACGCTTGTTTGTGCTTAGTACATTACATCTTACGAAAAGCAAACAGAACATCAATTGATCTTTGAATCATTTTTTATTATTCAATATATCAAAGAAAATTAATACACAGCAAAATTGTGCTGAGGGCAGGCAGTGGCATCCAATTAAACAAATGGGCTCAAAGGGGAAAGTTGGAGTTCTAAGACAGAGTTCAGAAGGGTGGCACAACTTACTCTTTATTTATTTTCTTGTGAATTTTATGGGTGGAGCTTCAGTTTTATTTTTTCCAAGTTTTCAGACAGTAAAGGACTCTCATGCGCGTAAGTATTAAGTCGGACAACAACAGCAGTATTTCTGGAACCAGCAAACGTATTCTGGACGCAAGACCAGAGACCGCAAGCTTTAGGAAGAGGAGTGTGTATCAGAGCAGGAATGTGAATGTTGATCTTGGTACAGAAGGTTCAGGAACAGTTGTATTTTTGTAGCCTGATACCAACGTCAGGATTGTCCCGGACCATTTAGGACCCTGGTGGAGTTTCAATGCTTCTTCTT